AGATAGATAGATAGATAGATAGATAGATAGATAGATAGATAGATAGATAGATAAATAAAGACAGGTGAGCAGGTCCAGACTTAAACTCAACTTCTTTTAATTGCTTTTCATCCTTATCTATTTATCCATCCATCCATCCTCTGGTGCTGTTTCCTCCTTCTCTGGCAAATCCAAAAATGCTAGGGAATTCCTGAAAGCTTGGCATTCTGACAAACCAGCCATCAAGAGGTCCATAAAGATAAGCCCCATCTACATTCCATTTAAAAATTAAAGCCAAAAGTCAAAAAAGGGAAAAAAAGCCCTGAACATATCCTCCCCGGCGACTAGCATCCAGTTAAGCAGGAAACAACACCAGATGAACTATCAGGGAAGAATCAATACCCTAATCAAGGAACTATCAAGGGAGAAACCACAGCACAACCAAGACAGGCCAGGCAAGCTGCATCTCAAAGCACTGATGGCAAAACCAGAAATAAAATACATAATAAAACAATATATTAAAATATTTAAATGCTTCAATAAAATATATCCACCCAAAGCTTGAGTAGGGAACTGGGGGAAAAGATTCGACCTGGGAGACCTGGGCAAAGATGTGAGTTTTCCATGCTCTCCTAAAAGGCATAGGAAGAACTTCTCACGGATCACTTGATCAGCAACAGGGAAGTGTTTCTCACTGTATTCTTCTGAGATACTTTTCCACTTCCTAGTGTAGCCTAAAGATTTCCCACGTTCTTCCCTCTGCTACTCAGTCGGACCTTGCTTAACTTTCTGAAGATCAGCCACTCAGATCTGTGTTGCCAACCGCTATGACTTTGCAGTTGCATGTAAATGGAAATATTGCAAGACTCTGCTTGGTCTTCAAATCATCCAAATAAAATATGTAATAAGCACTGGAATTTTTGAAATATTATTGCTGAGAAAATTGCTGCATGTGCAATGTATTTATATTAAAGTTTAGGGACATTCAATGAACTGACAAAACCTTTTTACAACAGACATAATTAACACAAGAAAGACAAGCCACGCTAATGCTGGCTAGTAGAATTTTAAAGGGACAAATGAAAGTATGCAAGGTTATTATCAATGATGCATACAAGGCATATCTTTGAGCAATGATGGGGAAGGTCCTTAATGTTCCTTCAGAACACCTTCACCCACCCTCCCACCCCATATTTCTGAGAATGTACTGTTACAAAGCTAATTACCAGCCTAAGGGCTGGGTACAATTCCAATCACATTTTTTTTTTCAAATTAACTTTTTGGAGATGACTATCTCCTAAGTAGCACATTTGTATTGATTTTACATGTGCAATAGCTCAGCGGTTTGTAAAAATTAAAATATAAATCACCAACGCCTTCATTATTTTTAACCTGACAAGATTCAGATGATGCAAGAGAGGTATGTGTTACTGTGTTTTCTACTCCATTTACAAAAATTCCAGTAAAAATCATTTCCAAATATGATTTTACATCGTATATGACATTTAAACCTTACTAACTTTACTTTATACCATCACTCCCCTCTGAAGTATGTGTCAGAGCTATTGGAAAAACATTCTGGAAAAAGGTTTTCCCCCAAAACTCTTACTATTCTATCAGATAACTCGGATGAAACAGTGTTATGTTTTTAACCTTCTCTAGAGAATCTGGCTGGCTCTTAGAAACAGAAGGCTGAACTTCACAGACCTGGGTGTGATCCAGCAAAGCAGTTACTTTGCTTCATGTTTATTAAGACAAGTGTCCTTGACCTGAATCCAGATATGGACACTTGATTATGGATCTTATTTTGAGCAAGCACATCTTCACTTACTTAAGACTTTTAGAAGTAGGGCCAGCCAGACAGTTAGTAAAAGGTTGGGAAGGAACCCAACAGTATTCATTTGGGATATAAAACCTTAGAAACTCTCAGAAAAGAATACCTCAGCTTATTGGTCCACTAACATTTTCTTCCCCCACATGAATAAAGCATTAGTCAGAATCCAGCTAAGAATTTCTAATTCTAGAATCTGTCTTTTCAAAGAACTTGTTTTCAGAAGCTGTCTTGGATCCTAAGAGTGAAATTAAGAATTGATGAGAGAACAATCCTCTCTAGAGACCTGGGTCAATATTTTCTAACATGTGGGAAGTGATCAGGAAGGACTCCTGATCCTCTAGAGAACAGCATCAAAAGTGCAGTTGGTTTTTGGGATCCTGTTATTGCTCTCTTTTGTCTTTTAATTTTTTTAGTTTTCACCATAGCAACAAGACTTGCCCTTTGCCCATCCACAAGATTGATGTTTATTGATACTTCCAGCCGCATGGATTATAATTTTACTGGTTTTAATCCTACCTTGGATATTTTACATTAAAGGATTGTTTTGCTCTTAATTATTGTAATAATTATTGTAATTTGTTGAGAGTCTCACAAATGCACTGGTATAAATATGACGGATTGGATAAGCTGGTCTGTTGGGAGATAGATAGAAGATTGCCCAAAGATTTGGAATCTCTAAATTTTGCATGGCATGGTAACAAGACTAAAGAGCAAGAATTCATAATATTGGGCCAATACTGTTAAGTGATGTTACAGAAATACTTAAATTTAATATTTAAATTTAATGGATTTGCGTCTGCAGTTTTTTGTAACTATTTTGCAGTATTTTACAAAATGTCCAAAATGGCAAGAATGCCCGTCTAAGAGTTCCATGCATTCCAACATTCAGACACGTATTTTGATATTCCTGGATGGACAGGTAAATTCCACATTCTGTACTAGCCAAGTAAGAAAAGCAGAACCAAGCAATTCAAGGCATGTTAACTACACCATGCATGAGGCTTGCTTTCATTTAAGAGACAAATTTTGAACCACACAGATATCTGCTTATATACAATTTATTTTAAGGTACTGTTAAAACAACAAGTTTAGTGCAACTTGAAATTCACATCTCATATCTAACTCCATCCATTTTCTAACAACCAACTCTCATCATTACAGAGAAAGATCTTCATGTCAACTTTCATTCACTACACACACACGCACGCACACATGCACACGCACAAACTCGCCCAAGAGCAATTCAGAATATTATACAGTCCCTAAACAGAAAGCTCTGCTATACAGAGGAAACCTGAAACACGTATAGCAAACAACGTATGACCAACATTCAGACACGTATTTTGATATTCCTGGATGGACAGGTAAATTCCACATTCTGTACTAACCAAGTAAGAAAAGCAGAACCAAGCAATTCAAGGCATGTTAACTACAGCACACAGTGGTTTCACAGCTTCAACCATTAACTTTTGAGCCTGCTGTTAAGACTGGAATAGGGCACGTCATTCAACCTTTTTCTGCCTCTGGAACCTCTACCAATTCTTCCTTTGCAACACCAATCTCAATGAAGAATCCTGGAAAAGCTCCTTCATCTTCACAGACTTAGCCCACCTCCCACCTGCCATTCCCTCCCTCTTCATTTGCGAGAGTTTTTTTAACATGCTGGCTTCTGCTTCCTGTGCAGCATGCAGAGTTTTATCCCTACTAGAAGCAAACAGAAAAAAGTTCCTGTTTTCTAGAGTGCAACAATCAACCTACAGCACTGTTCTCCAGCTTCAAAGGTTCAAATATTGAGTGCTTTTCCCTCAAAGAATGATGCACTGATATGGTCTCAGGGAAACATATCTTCCTCTTTTCTACTCACACCGGTAGACACTATTTCAGCTTGATCCACATTACAAAGTGGAGGAATTCCATCAATCTGGAATCCTATCTCCAAAATTACTTTGTAATGCTGATATGTCTTACGCCAATGTTTCCTGTCTGCTGTGTTTTCAATCTATTTTGACAGAATGCAGTTGCATAAAGAAAAAAAAGAGAGATCTATAAAGATGCAACATTGGTCTTGGGACAATATTTTGAAGACACAACATTAAATATGTTCCTGACATCACCCTATAAACCAGAGCCACAATGACTGAAAGACTGAACTTTTTAGCTACTGGTCTAAACTATTTTATTCCTTTGTGGCTATTTGTTTTATGAAGAGAGTATTTTACAGAATGGAAGAAAAATGTATTCTGGAGGGACTATATATTTTGGCATCTAAAGTATTAAAATATTATAGTGATGCAGAACATCAATCTACAGCACACGTTTTCAGATACAACCAATATGAGAATTTAATATTGAGAATTACGGTCTTCAACCACCCTTCATTTGGGAATAAAGAGTATTCTCTTTCATTGGTCCAAGTAATGAAATCCACACTTTGATCCCTACCCCTACCCCTACCTGAATTCCAATCTAATTTGGTCCTCTTCATCCTGATCAGCAGGGCTTGGTTGAAGCTCATGGAAACAGCAAAGAAACGAGTGATTACATCTGTGGGCCCCAGTGTCCTCAGAGAAAAAGACAGTAGCTAACTAACACTGGACTCACGGAACACCAAGTTTTCCCCTGGAGCTTGTTCCAAGGAAAGAGGCAGGGAAAAATTGCAAGGACAAAACACAGGGACAAAGACATGAACTAGACTGAGATGATACGCAACTCCTGTCCTAGTTTGGCTGGAATCCTTATTAAACATACATCACAGAAAGCAAATTCTTCTCACCACTGCAAAAGACTGGACAGAGCAGAGCTGTATGTTCATGAGCACAGACCATGTGGAGATACTCTTTCCAATTATACACACTGGATAAAAAGCATACAACATTTCACAAAGCACTTGACAGTACAGTTATATTTACTTTCAGCCTAATGCTTCTCACAATGCAAATAACATTACATTTGCTAGTTAACACACATTTTCTTCTTCTTTTTTTCCCAGAAGGATTCAGGAGCTGAAGCGAGCAGAAACTTTTCTGGCCATTCAGACATGCTCCTGAAGCCACCCAAATAGTGTTTTGCTTTCTAGAGTTCTCTCCCCATCAGCAGACTTCTCCATGGCTTCACAGTATTTCAGGACTGCCTGGAAGAGGTCTCCTACTTTCCACCCTTTCTCCTGTAATGTCTTTGAAAGCTAGAAGCAAAGGAAAAGGAAAAAAAAGGGGGGGGGGATTAAGAAATCAGATTAATATCTGATAGCTGACCATACCAGTGCCCAAGTTTAGGATAAGCCTCGCCCTATACGCAGAAAAGAAAATTACAGAAGGAAGCTGGAGAGCATCATCTCCCGTATTTGGACTTCTTTGTTCTAGTCTTTCCCTCTCCCAAGAAAATGTCTTCATTGTCTTTAAGACTTAGCAAGTGCAACCACTGTATTAATTAGACATCAGAAAAGTTTCTATTTTTTCACATGTAAAAATAAGGTACTCCCAAAACCAGATATTTTTCTTCCCAATCGCTTCCTTAAATGGGCTTTTCAGAGAGACATTTCCAAGAGTTCTAATGGCCATGATTGTGTGAGTAGTAGGCAACTGCTTTTTTTTTAAAGACTTTGTGCACAAATCAATTCATTGGTAACAGTCCTGAATAAACTGGCATTCAACGGTTGCCCAAATGAGTACAGTACTAAAATATCTCCCTTTCCATCGTTCCATGACATAAAGTGTGGTTGCTTTGGTAAATGTACTCTATTGTCAGTGGAAACCACTGACTCCAGAGTGGCACATTTAGGAAGCGTAAAGATCCACAACACAGAAATTAAAATTTCCAACTACAAGCCAAGCTTATGTAGTTCAAACACTTTTCTTCTCAAAGGGTCTGAGGAAGCTTTTTCCTTGTCTAGCAGCTTGAACAAAAACACATGTGTATGATAGGGAGGGGAAAGTTGTTTGTTATCTGGAATGAAAACTGGAATTTTGAAACATCTGAAGGTTTCTTTTGACCCAACACATCGTAGTTTATTGTTCCTGTGTCCTTTTCTGAAGAGTAACAAAAATGTTTTTCCTCAGATGTCAATGGCGCGACACTGGTGGGTTTTTGAGAATCTCATTGCATCAAGTTTACTTCTAGCCCTAAATGCTAACTCCATGCATCTTAAATTTATTTCCCAAATATGCAAGTAACCTACTTCCAATGCAAGTGTGATAACTGAATACCCTTCCAAGCAAAATAGTGAAAAGGTAAATAAATATATTTTTTTTAAAAACTGAGCATCTGGAACAAGAAAGCATACTAGTCTTCTTGCTAATCAGCACTGCTTCTATGTTGGGGAACAGTCCGATATACAAGTTCCCATTAGTTGTGAGAACTAAGTCAGTATCACAGCATGTTGCACACAGAAGTCAGACACTTTTCCTCAATCCTTATTTATAATCTAGAATAACTGGTTTGATTTCGTTAAGGCTGCTGGTGGATGGTCATGGAACAGGGGTTTTCTCTGGATTGTTCTGTCTCAGTGACTTATCCCCAGGCCCTGGATGCCAATGTCCCAGTCCTGTCCTAGAAGGACCTTCCAAATCCTTCCCCAATGAACAAAGCTCATGACCTAGCAACCAGATTCCCATTTTGTCGCGGTAGAGCTCCAGAAATTTTCTTCAAGCCAAACTCAACTCCCGCTGAAAAGATACATCCATGTTCTTTTTCTTGGGAACACAATGTAAGTGTTTGGCATTGCCTTCTTTGTGGATGCTTTTTTGACTTCCCAGGCTGGCCTGGAGCCCAAATGGTCTCCCATTCAAGTATGAGCCAGGCCTGATCTGTTCAGCTTCTGAACCTGAGCCAGATCTGCCACTTGCTGTAGACCCAGTGCCTTGAAGAGCTTTTTAAAAAAAGGTTTAAAAGAGTCACTTGTTGAAATGGGCGGTTATAGAAATCAAATAAATAAAATAAAAAGCTGAACATTAAGCAGACAGAACTTTTCTTAATGTCAAGGCATCCCCCTGGCAAAAGTTAAATTGTAAGCAATTGAACTTACCACTCAACTGATAAAGACGTAGAGCCCAGGCCAAGAAAAGAGTTAGCAATGTGGTCTGGAGACAGATTTGCCTATGCATTCTGACTAAATTAAAAACAGCAAGGGACACATTTTATTTATTTATTTATTTATTAAAAGATTTATATGGCTGCCCATCTTGTAGCACACAACTCTGGGCGGCTAACAACAGCGATAAGAACACAAACAAAAAAATCAATACAAAAAGAAAACACCAGGTGGCCATAACTATACCCATTCATCTCTTCAATCCCCGGATTTCAACCTTACTGTCCCAGTGCCTGGGGAGAAAGCCAGCTCTTCACCAATTTATGCAAGGTTAAGAGGGTGGGAGTCTGCAGATATCAAGGGGGAGGGTGTTCCACAGGGCAGGGTCTTCTATGAAAAAGACACACTCTCTAGGCCCCACTAGATGGCAACATTTAAGGGAAGGGACCTGGGGGATACCCACTCTACCTGATCTAGTGGAATGGGTAGATACTGTCAGGGAGAGGGGCTCCCGTAGATAGTCTGGTCCTGTGCCATGTAGGGCCTTAAAAGTGATATCCACCTTGAATTGTACCCAGAAACTGAGAGCCAGTGCAGCTTGCACACAATGGTGCTAAATGGGCAAACCAAGAGGCGCCCAATACTGGGCAAGATGCTGCATTTTGAACCAACTGAAACTTCTGGGTGGTCTTCAAAGGCAGCCCCACGTAGAGTGCATGGCAGTAGTCCAACCGGGAAGTGACCAAGGCAGGAGTGATTGGGAGCAAGGCCTTCCAGTCCAGGAATGGTCGCAATTAGTACACAAGATGTAGCTATGTAAAGGCCCCCCTTAGCCAGGACTGCTGCCACTTACTCATCCAACAGGAGCTGCGAGTCCAGGAGAACCCCCAAATTGCACACCAGCTCTGTCAGGGGAAGTGCTACCCCATCAAGAGTCAACATGTCACTGGACCAGGGGGGCCAAAACCACAAAGTCACTCCATCTTAGTAGGGTTCAGCCACAGCCTGTTCCTCCCCATCCAGGCCCTCACAGCCTCCAGGCACTGGGCCAGCATCAAGATGGCATCACCCATCTGGCTAAGGGTGGAGATGTACAGCTGGGTACCATCAGCATACTGATGATACTGCATCCTGTGCCGATGGATAACCTCCCCCAGCAGTTTTATGTAGATGTTAAAAAAGATGTTTAGATGTTAAAAAGCAGATTTATATAGATGTTAGAAAGACCTGAGCCCTGAGGCACCCCACATTGTAGGGACCTAGGGCTGGACCTCCCCCCCAACACCAACTGGTACCAGCCACCAAGGAAGAAGGAGAACCACTGCAAAACAGTGCCTCCCACTCCCAATCCCTGCTGCTCAGCCCAGAAGGATACCATGGTCGATGGTACTGAATGCCACCAAGAGATCCAGGAAGGCCGAGACAGTTGCACCACCTCCGTCCCGAGCTCTCCACAGGTCATCCACAAGTGTGTCCAGTGCCATCTCTGTACTATACCTCAGCATGAACCCAGACTGAAAAGGGTCCAGATAACCTTATTCATCCTGGATCCTCTGCAACTGAAAGTCAACTACCCTCTCAACAACCTTCCGCACAATGGGAAGGCTGGAGACTGGATAAAGTCTGCCTGTTATCCAGGCAATCGGGTCCAAGGATGGCCTTTTGAGAAGGGGGCACACCACCACCTCTTTCAAGGCTGGCGGAAGCACCTCCTCCCTCAACCATCGTTTGGGCCCAACTACCTGCCACCTCCCAGGAGGTCTTGACCAGCCAGGAGGAGCATGGATCCAGAACACAGGTGGCCAAGCTCACAGCTGCAAGATGACTTCATAGCACCCAGAATTCAATTCAAATTTTTGCCTTCAAGTCAGTTTTTGACTCCTGGCGACTGCCCCACTTCTTCCTAGGGCTGAGAGAAGTGCCTGGTCCAAGATCACTCAGAACTGCTTCACAATTTCACAAAAGTTTCAGCAGGTCTCTGACTCACCTACGAATTAGTCAACATATTTTACTTCGATGTGACATTTTAAAAGGCTGAATACTATAGTAGCTGCACATGATTCTGTAAAAATACTTGAAGTTGCTAAATAAAGACTGCCTAAAGGGATAGCCAAAATGGCTTCTAATGAGTTGCATTCGGAACAGACCATCTTGGTGGACAATAACATTGCTTAATTATGGACTGTGAGTTCATACATATCTAGATGTGGCAGTCCATAATTGTGGGTGGAATATGATCTGTACAAACAAGCAAGTACCTGGAAGGAAAGTTTTTTTCTGAAAAGACCACAAAGCTCAGATCACAATGAGGTCATTATCTGCTTCAGGATGAACTCAATGAAAGGATCATATTGCAGAATCAATCTCTTCCAAAATATCTTCATATTGTGGAAGATAGGAAGCATTTTACCATTCAGTACAAAGAAAATGTAAGCAGATTCAAAGTCACATATATCTGAATAGCTTTAAACACTGTTTGATATTTCCAAGCAGATTGGTGAAGATGAACATCTTCATCTGACAATCATCAAGCCTTCAACTATTTTTTTTTGCTCTAGAATTATACAAAGATGCACAGTCTATCATCTTCAGGTTCTGTTGTATGGTACCTATTTATACAAATGTAAGTAGAAATAATAAAAATTATTCCATTATGGGTTCTCGATACTGATGGATCTCTTAAACACTGAACACTAAAACAGGAGGCTAAGCTGTGCTTCAGGGAGATCTCTCACTGAAAAGGTAACAGACACCAGAATTAAGTGTAGCTGATGTGACAGAAAACATAGCAGAAATAAATATGCTACAAGAATTGTTGTCTAGAATGTAAGCAACAGGAATAAGAATACAATGAAGTTGAAGGAAACATTCAAATCAACCAAGCCGTTTTTAGTGCAAAAGGCAAATTAGCCATGCCATCACCTGTTACCTAAAGGAAATTAGGGAAGAACCTTTTTAAAAAAATACCCCAGGAAATGCATTATGACTGTACAGCTTTGCTTACCAATGAAAAAAGTGATATTGAAAATTTGCAATTTGGCAAACTGAAATATGAAAGTTAAGGGGGACATCAGGATGATAAAGACAAAATCAGTCGTATCGCTCTATTATAGACTTGTGAGCATTTCTAGATTCAGACTCAACACAGATGCCAA